TGCATTGGAGCCAGGCGTCGAGATAAAACGGGGCAATGATGTCAGAGAGCTCCAGACCGGCTAAAAGCTAGGAGCCGTGACGCCCGGGCTGACGCAGGCCCAGATAACACAGCCCTCTTCCCTGCGGCTTCACATCAGTGCTGGCATAATAGCTGTGTTCAGTGTGGGGCTTTCATGGGATAAGCAGGGTTTTGGCAGGGCTTAGAATAAGTACAAAAGAAGCCAGAGACGTTCGAATGCGTCAAAGCTGCAGGTAACACGAGCCGCAAAGGACCCGCCTGTCCCCGGGCTTTGTGTCAGGTCCCACCCTGGCACGCGTGAGGGCAGAGGTCTGCAGGTTCTCTCGAGTGGCAGTCCCCTCCTTGGGGGTGGGGGTGGGAGCACAGTGACACACCTGCTCCCCAGGACCCCTCCGGTGTAAATCAGGCCAACCTGCCTCTAGTCTGCTTCCACAGAGGGTCTCAGGCTGCGTTTACGGGGGGGCAAAATCTCCGATGCCCATATATGTCTATGGGAAAGGGCCTTGGAAGTTCATGAGAAAACGGGATTGAAATATAATAAGCTCTTTGCATACACTTCAAAAAATCCCCTTGTACATGTAAAGATTTATCGCAAGAAACGGCTCACGCTGCTACAGGGGCAGCCCAGTCCCAAGTCTGTGGGTCAGATGCCAGGCTGGAGGCTGCTCCTGACTGACATGTCAGCAGGGGCTGATGAGCCTGCCAAGGCGCGTGAATCCAAGGTCGCCGTAATACAGCAGGCGGCTGGCTCAAGTCCCAAGAACCAGAAGTCAGGTGATGCGGGCCAGAGGTCAGCTCCAGAGTGGGCAAGCTAGAGAGCTTTGTCCAGACATCCCGTCCCTAAGGAGACTCCCTCCTGGTGGCCTTGTGATGCAATCACCACAGAGCTTACATATCGGACCTCAGCACAGAGGATGTAGTACTACATCATTGCATGACTGCCAAGCCCCTGAGAGTGATGGCCCACCCGTGCTGGCACACAACCCTACCGTCCCGTGGAGCAAGGCTGCTCGCTGTCCCTGCCTCGGGCTCCACACTTGTCAAATGCAGCGACTTCATATGACGCTACTCTGTCGGCACACGGGCAGGGCCAAGTGGGCCAGTGCTCAGAGTACTCCCCGGTGTCCCTCCAGGCAACTAGCATGAGCTCAACTAATGGTGGTGGTGCTGGGGGCTGCCGAGCCGACTCCGACTCCCCACGACCCCAAGCGGTCTCCCAGGCTGCCATCTTTGCGGGAGCACTGCTCCTCCTCCGCAGATCCACCAGGGAGGTCACAGCAGCGGCCTTCAGCTAAGAGCGGGCGCTTCACTCCTGTACCGACTCCCAAGGCGCCCTCCTCACAGGGTAGCGCTCTACCGTCATGGTGGGCGCCGCAGTCTCTTCATTACCAGAACTGGGGAGGGAGGGAGGGAGAAAACGAGGAGCTGATTCCAAGGGCTCAAGTAGAAGAAAATGTTTGAAAAGGATGATGGCAGCACATGTACAAATGTGCTGGACACATGGATGGATGTGTGAACTGTACTAAGCTGTTTGAGCCCCCGATAAAAAAGTTTTTAGAAAGAACCGTGGTCCAAATGACCGCCATCATCAACAGAGCAGACACACACAAGGTCAGCTGACACAGCCACCCCTCGGCAAGGTAGGACCTGTGTGTAGACCCCAAGGACACACGCGCCTGAGGAGAGTGTCATCACGGGTCCGTCAGCCACAGACGCAGAGAAGAAACACCATTCCTTCGTTCATTGAGCAGACACTTATGGAGCAGGCTTATGGTGTGAACTGTGCAACCCCCCCCCCCCCAAAAAAAAGACCCTTTGAAGTCTTAACCCTTAACCCCTGCTCCTGTGGGCTTGAGTGAATGCTTTTCACTGGAGCAGGAGCCACCAGACCCACTGTCCCCAGCCACGCCCGGGTCACAGTGGCCCTGAAGGACAGAAGGAGAACTGGCTACTCATCGATGGGGGCAGACGCCTCATTGTCCACCGCAGAAGAGCTGCTGGCCCCAACCCCAGCCTTTCGGTCAGCAGCTGGCCAGCCGAGAGCTTTCACCACGCGCTGCACGCCTCCTTGTGAACCCCTGGGCGAGTCCCGTCAGTGACCCTGTTGGGGGTAGGACCTTCCGGTCGGGTTTCTGAAGCTCACCTTTCTCTTGAGGCTCCAACTGCTGACCTGCAGGTGGCAGCTGAGCACTGAACCCTCCGCACCACCAGGCCTGGGCCTGGATCAGGTGGGTCCTGATGCTGAGTATCCGCCCCTGTCCCCCAGCCTCCACCGCCCTACCCTCTGTCCTCACTGTCCGGCCCCTGCTAGCCCTCATGGGGAAACTTCCCAGGCCGGGAGCTTCTGGCGCCCACTGCGGCGGGGCATCCCCAGGCCTGCGTGACCACATTCTCCCGCATCACCTCTGCACCTTGTCCTTTCACCTCCTTCCCGGGGTGGCCACCGGGTATTTCCTGTCCTGCGACTCGGGCGTTTCAGTGTGGGGCATCGCGTGGCCCCACATCCACAAGGGGACAGGACCCTGCCCGGGGCGGCTAGTCTTTCCCAGGCACTTCCTGTCCCTTTGGCTCTCAGGGCTCCCCGTTTCCAGATGGAGGCGGGGCGGAGAAGGAAGTGGAGGGACAATCTGCTGTGGGGGCGGAGGGCATGTGGGATTGAAGAGGAGAGGGAGACAGGAGGCGGTGTTGGGGAACAGCAGGCAAAGTAGAAGCAAATGGGCCTTTGTGGCCCTGAGCCACGGGGCAGCGGTCTCGCTGATCAATAAGGGCCCAGAGCGTCCAGGTCATTCTGTCGGTCGGGGCGGGGCAGGGCAGGCCCCGAGAGGAGGAGTCAGGAGGAGGCCAGGAGCAGAGTGTCTGCTGCAGAGGGCCCTTGGCCTTGGACTTAGAGAGTGGTGGGAGTCGGCGTAGCGCAGGCCTGCTCGAGGCCAACACCAGGGAGGTCCCATCCGGGAAACAGTGCGCCTGCTCTCCTTCGAGGAGCCATTCCTTCCTCCACTCAGCACGTCTCCTTTCAGGCTCATCTGGAAGCCAGTGAGAGCCGCTGCGATGGGCTTGGCTAAGGCAGCACAGGGCCAGTGAGGCCTTGCTGGGAGAAAGGACCTTTCTCCGGGGCCTCACAGGGCATCCGTGCACCAGACTTGGGCCTCCTTAAAAGCTGGCCTCCAGTCATCCTTCTGGTTCATACACGGGATTAGACAGGTCAGAGGGCATCGGTACCACCAGGAGAGAAGAGCCAGTGATGGAGCTCACCCATGGAGCCAGGGCCCCGGCGCTGAGAACTTCCTAGACCCAGGGGGACCGATGCGGAGACACACAGGGCTCTCCAGGGGTGGGTGGGAGACTCAGACTTTCCCCCAGAGCCCAGCAGAGAGAGAGCCTTCCTCAGGGATGGCGCCAGGACTCCGGACTTCAGTCCCCTCAGTTGCGAGAAAACCCACTTTGTGTATTTCTGCCACAGCAGTTCCCAAGAACCAGGGCACTTTCCAGGGGAGTGTGCACAGGGCTGCCACCGACTCCCCTGCACAGGGGCCCACGCTGGGCGGCCTGGAGGAGGCGGTACCCTACCTGACCCCTGGCGATGGTCGGCTTTGGTGCCACCTTGGTCCGCTGTGGAAGGGATGGGTGGTCCAGCCTGCTGCCGCCCTCCTTCGGGGTGCAGCCTGTTTATGAGCAGAGCTGGCCCCCCTCTCGCCCCTTGCCTTCCTGCTCGCTTGGATCCTGTGTCTGGTTTCTCGGCCTGCCGCCCAGGGAGCCGTGGCTCCCGGGAATCTTGGGTCCACACGCCGTTGCATCCATGGGCCTGTGATCTCCCGGCTCCCACTCCGTTGACTGTGCGTCTGGAGGGCCCTTCAGCCCGCATGGGGCCGGCGGACTCGAGTTAGGCTGGGCTGGGCTGCTTCCTTGGTCTAAAGCCCTTCAGTGTGCATGCAACCCAGCGAAACACGGACCTCAGGGATGAGAGTGAGCAGAGCACCGGGCGAAGGACAGCAAAGGCCAGGCGGCCAGTGGGTGGACAGCATAGGAGGTGGTGATTGAGGAAGGAGCTGGGCAGGCACTAGGGTGGGTCAGTGTTGAGACCCCGCACTGGGAACCCTGGGAGCTATGCAAGGGTTAAGGGGTGTGGTCAGCAGATCATCAGCCCCCTCCCCCACCCAACGATGTCTGTGCTCGACTCTCCAGGTGGCCCTGTGTGGTCACGGGTCGGGTCGTTGGAGTTGACTAGGGACGTGGATGGGATGGAGGGGGGGAGGGGCCGGCAGACACTGTGGGGTGTCCCAGGGAGACAGGTTGACCGGGGGCTGCTGGTAAGAGGGGTGACTAGGTATGGGGGCCTGGTCCCAGGCAGAGTGCCTGGAGCTGGGTAGGGGTCATTGCTTCTACCTTCCTACCTGCACCTCCTGTCCTCCTGGCCCAGCAGGGGGAACCCTTCAGCCAGGCCTCCCTCTCCCTTCTCTGGAGGCCGTCCCTGCGGACCCCGCCCAACACCACTGCGGTCTCTCCGCTCTCCTCCCCTCAGGGCCCTGCTTGACCCACCGACCCACCCTGTCTGAGAAGGAACAAGACCATGAGGGGGGTCACGCCACCCTGGGATGGCTCCCCGCCTCCCTCAAAGAGCCATGCAGTCCTCGCCGGGCACTGCGGTCTAATTTGGAAATGGTCTTTGCAGATGCGACTGCCACATTAACAGGAAGTCACGCCGGTACAAGGTGGGCCTTGGTCCCACCCAACTCATGTCCTTACAAAAGGTGAGGGGCGCCATGGAGGCAGAGACAGAGCAGGGTGGGGGGAAGCACACCTCAGTGGGGGGTGCGCCCGTCTCCACTGGGAAGGATGGAAGGCCATCTCCCAAAGCCCTGCTCACACCCTGATTCCAGACTCAGGAGGAAGCCAGTGCCCCCCAACAGTGGAAGTCCAGCCGCACCCCCCCTCCGCTGGGGTCCAGAGGACACAGTCACCCGGTCAGACGGTCAGACTCACCCGAGCCCTCAGCGGTGCCGGCGAAGTCCACCTGGACGAGGTAGCCGGTGTTCCGGATGCAGAGGCAGGCCGCCGGGTCGTAGGCTACCCTGAGCGGCCGGAGCTTGATGTCGTAGATGCTGTCCCTGCACTTGATGTCGATGGGGGACTGCCTCGTGCCCCCTGGCACAGACAGGGGGCCCTTCCAGAGGGGGTGCCCTGGGGCAGAGAGGAGGAGTGCAGCTGAGCGGCAGAAACGGCCAGACAAGACCCTGGGAGGCCTGTGTGGACTGGTGGCTGCTGAGCCCCCTGCAGAGATGCCTGGCCCCTCGCTCTGGACCTTTCCTGGAACATGGACTTGGCCCTTGTTGCCGGGCTGGCTGGCCTGCGCTGTCTCTCATTTTGGTCTACCAGTGTGGCCTTGGGGACTCCACATCACTGGTGACTCCACAGCGGCCCAGGGACAGTGGGGAAAGCTCGAGGGGGCTGGGCAGGGCGAGGGACCTCAGAGGGCAGCAGGGAGCCCGGGGAAAGGCCCGGTCCCACTTGTCTCCCTCAGTCCAAAGAGCGCATCCGAACAAGGGTGCTGCCACATGGGGCTGTGGCGTCAGCCCCGCCCCCAACAGAATGAACCCCACCCAGCCCTCCACCCCTGAGTCCATTGTCACAGCTAGCCAGCCTAGCGGACCTGTCCCCTCTTCAGTGGCCCTCTGCGGGGGCGTGGATCACATGCCGGGCAGCTCACCGCAAGGTCGGCAGTTCAAGTCCAGCAGCCCCTCCGCAGGCTCTCAACTCCCAGTCTCGGGAGCCCTCCGGCAGCTCTGCCCTGCCCCACAGGGTCGCTGTGAGTCCGCATCCACTCGAGGGAAGGGGGGCACTGCTTTGCCCAGCCTGTGCCCTTCCCCAAGCGGGCCCTGACCCAGGACTCCTCCTGTCCTTCGAGGAGGCAGGAGGGTGGGGGCCCCAGAGTGACTGCAGAGCGATGTCGCCTGTGGAGTCTCCTCTCAACTCCTGCGTGATTTGGAACGTCAGGCGTGCCGACAGAAGCCGGGCCTCAGGAAGTGCAGGAGAGCTCACCGAGAACAAGGAAGGAGCCCCTTGGTGGGACGCCGGTGCTGACCCTGACCCCTCAGGCTGTTGCCCACGCCGGTCCCCTCAGACCACCGGAGATGAGACTCGGGCTATGTGCTGCATGCTGCCACACCACCTTGGGGCGCACGGCGCTGCGTCCCGGGCTCACTTTGTCATCGACCACGGAGGCACCACGGAGGCACGAAGGGTCCGTGGCGGTGCACATGGGGTCTAGGCCACCGCACTGTTTACATGATTCTCGAAGGACAGACACTTGGATTCTTTCCAACCCACGCCACTGTTTCCAACTTCAGATGATGGGGTGACGCACTTTCCCCAACTTCTCGATTTGGTGGCCGGGTGTGGGTGCGGGTGCGGGTGGGGGTGGGGGTGTGGAGCTGGTGGGGGTGTGGAGCTGAACCCTCTGGTTCCCAGAGTTTATTTCTCCAGGCATGGGCTGTCAGAAAGCCACGTGGGGGGATCGTTGGCCTACTTAGTGGGTGTCTTGTTTTCAACAACTTCCTACGTGACGCTTGGTACTCTGAGGTCAAACAGGCTTCCAAGTTCTCAGGAGACAGAGCTGGAAGCTGGACCCCGCCCGTCCGGCTCAGGGACGGCTGCCCCGTTTGAAAGACGCGACACAATTGGACCATCACCATGCCAAGCCGGGATCTACTTACAGGCCTGGTTCCTGCTCCCCTGAGCACAGGATCGCCCCGGCACCGGCAGAGGACTCCTGGGCACCCCCAACAACCGCCTGGTCAAGAAGGAGAGACTCAAAGGTTCTAGGTGCCTCCTTCCCATCGTGGCGGTCTTCAGCATCTTGGGTCCGTTTCTGGCTGCCAACCAACCCCCCCGCAGACCTCAGTTAAAAGCACAAGGTGGTCTCTGTCGAGGGCCCGTTCTTACTCGGGTCAGCGCAACCCTGGACTTGTGCTCCAAATCCCAGAACCGAAGAGTTAAATTTCAACCCATCCCTGCCCAGCCCCTCTGATGACATCCGTTTGGCTCAGGGCTGGCTGGGTGGCTTAGGACTTGTGCCCTGGCCGGGGTTGGGCCACACAGGTCACTGTGCTTTGAACTGGTCAATCGTTGGGGTATCGGGGAGTCAACAAAACTCCCTGGCGAGATGGCCGTACGTGCAGAGACCAGCAGCTGCTTAGAGCAGAGTCCCTGTGGCTGGTGTGTCCTCTCGGTCAATGGAGCCAGCGGAACGAGGTCAGGCATGGGCCTGCTGAGGGCCTCCCAGGGCATGGCTCAGACTCCCACTCTGCTCCCGTGGCTCACACCTCAGAATATCGAGCCGACCCCCTTTCCCCCGGCCCAGTCTCCACACCTGCCTAGTTCCGGGAAGCGGAGTCCATGTGGATTCAGCGTGGCCCATGCCCTTGGGGCAGCTCTGCTCTGCCCACAGAACATCCCCTGGGGAGTGGGGAGGGCTCGGCGGCCGCCCCCAGCCGGCCCTCCACACGCAGCATGAGCTTCCTCGCAGCAGCAGCTGGGCTTCAGGCCCGAGGGGCCCGAGAGTCACTCCACCATGTTCCACGGGGCCAGAGTCAGGGAGAAGGGCCACCGGCTCCCTGGAGGAGCCTCAGGTAGGGACAGCAGTGGAATCATGAGGGGCCACACTCCCAGGGACGGCTTTTGGACATGACCAGAAGAGACAAAGGAGGATTCTCCCGGGAGCCTCCGGAAGGAGTCGGGCTGAATTCAGACTTCTGGTCTGCAGCAGAGGGGAAATAAACGCCCGTGGGATTTTGTTCACGGCTCCAGGCCCCTCATAGCCCCAGAATGTGGTCCTGCCCATCACCGCCACCGGGCTACCTCCCAGAGGACCCTCTTCCCTACTCCTGCTCCCAGTATCGGCTTCATGGTGAAGCCCTGCTGTGTTTACCCCTCAACATCTCGGATCCACCCTTCTCTCTGCCACAGTCTCTTCTCCACGCCCTCCCACCGACTGGGGAACATTTGCGGTTTGGGGTCTGCATAGGCATCTCATGGTGGCCTGATTTCTTTCCAACCTCCTCTGTAGGGCCTTTGCAGGCCTGGGAGGGACACCCTGTCCCTGTCTATCTGCCTAGCAATGATGCGGAGCGACACAAGCCACCCACAGACAGACAAACCTGGAGTGACCTCGTCACACCCACGGACGAGGGACATGCGTTGAACAAAGCGTGTAGTGGGCACCAGAGAGGGGGCTTCATGGGGACAGTCTCTGTTACACGGCCCAGGATGTCAGTGCCCGGCAGACACCTCACAACGGTGACTGAGCAAGCAGTGGGGAGGTCACATCTGTACAGCCGGCCACCGCAGGTGGCCCGGGTTCTTGTTTGGAGGTTTAGGGTCTCGGTTACCGGGGACTGCCCGGCAGATCGGCGGGTCAGTGCTCTTGTCCTCCCTCCTCGTTACATGCACAACGGTGGGGTCATAAAAGCTTGCAAGCAGCCAGGCGAGGCATCCAAACCGGAACTCACTGCCCTGGAGTGGATCAGCTCGGGACAGGGTGGGCCTGCTCCGGAGGGACCGCCCGAGGCTGACACTCCTTACGAAGGAGAAAGCTGTTGCCTCCTGCCGGCTGAGGCACAGCTGGTCTCCATTTGCCTGGAGCTAAAGAGAAAGGCGAGTGGGGGAGTTGGGGGGGGTGGGGGGCGGTGCTATGCGACGTGTGGCTAATTGCTCCGGGAACCACTTTACCTGAGACCAGACGGACTGGACTGTCTAGCTACCACAACTCCAGTATTTTGGTTGAAGATTCAATAAAAGAATCCTGATCCAAGGGGATGGAAACACAGGACAGAATTAAAAATGCTCACGGACCCTAGACTTCCTGGAACCATAGGAGAGGGTGGAGGGTGGATGAGCCCTTTCTTGTGTGTGTGTGTGTTTGATTGTTTAAATCGTTTTATTAGGGGCTCATACAACTCTTATCACAATCTATACATACATCAATTGTATAAAGTACATTCATTGCCCTCATCATTCTCAAAACATTTGCTCTCCACTTAAGCCTCTGGTATCAGGTCCTCATTTTTCCCCTCCCTCCCCCTCCCCATCCCTCATGAACCCTTGATAATTTATAAATTATTATCTTGTCATTTCTTGCCCTGTCCGACGTCTCCCTTCATCCACTTTTCTGTTGTCCGTCCCCCA